TTCCTGCTGTTACCGATAGGTTCCTCGGTGAACGAGAGCTGACTTCGAAACCTCCAACTCGGTTCTGAACCTTCTATTGTTCTGGGCCAAAGCCATAACTAACGGCTCATCAACAGATAACCTCATCGTGTGCTTACAGTTCCTCCTTTTCTGTTAATGACCCTGTGTTTACACCCTTAGTTTACAAAATTGTCTTGCACATACTTGTTTTGTTTTGTTTTAAAGACGCAGTGGAGCCAAACCATAATGTTTTGAGTGGGAAAGATAACTCACTTAACGGAGCAGTCCAAGTTGTTTGACATGCTGACTGTAACCAGATTATGCAAGCTCTAAATTACTGAAAAAGAACAGCATTGGTGATCTGAAGGTTTTGGGGATGTCGCAGAAAGGTTGGGTGTAGACAGAAGCATTGATTTAGGGTAAATGAGAGAGAGAAGAGACACGAGAGAGCACAAGAGACAAACGTGAAGGAGGTCATAGGTGAATGGAGGGCAGGAAGTATTTGGTGTCAAGTCGTTGAGAGGAGAAGCAGGTGGTGATGCATGACAAGGTTGATGTGCGTCGATAGTCTTAAGCAAAGAAATGAGGAAAGGCCGCTCAATAATAAATATGGTTAAATTAATGACGGCACGGAAAATCAGTGTTCTAAGAACATAATGAGGTTACTCCACTAAACAAATATGTCTTCGTGTGTATATATGTGTATATATGCATGTATGAATCATTGTTGTGTATATAAATTGTTATATTTTATAGTTTGTTAAAAAGTAACTTGTTAAACTGTCCACTTTTGTATATATATGTATATCCGCGTGTTATGCTAAACCTTGTAACAGTAACGAGTTCCTGGACGAAAATTGCCTGTAACCTAATTCCCTTGTCTATTGTGACATGGTCAAGGGGGCATGTCATAACCAAATGAGTTGAGTGTCCCTGTCACAATAGAACTGCCCTGAATAACCGCAGTTACTTTCAAATTTGGTCACGTTCCGCCTCATTAGTATTCAGTCCGTTATTGGCTACTCCGGACATATAAAAGTTCATGCAACTTCCGCCCAAGTCAGAGACCTCTGAGCACGCGGCAGAGTAACCACGGAGTAGCGCGATCGAGGAAACTTGGCGGACTGATCACCCACCGATATCTCCCCGTCACCGGGTCCTTTTGACGTACCCCGCTATCCTGCAGGTTCCTTTTCGTTCAAAAGCTCGTTTACTCGTAACTCGTTTTGTTATCCGACAACGCAAGCAAGCTACCTCGAAGCCTGCGCTGCCATTCCACGCGGCATAAGTAAAAGCAATCTTTTAAAACCAATAAGCTGTCTCGCCTCTCCATTGCCGGCCCGCCTGACGTCCAATTAAACTAGTGATCCTCGGGTCGGCTCCGGCTGCCCGAGACAGGAAGGACTGTGGAAAGAAGCTTCCAGTGACTCCTCCTAAGAAGTACAGGCAACCCATTTCATTTAGCACTATTTCATTATAACGCTCATTTGAAATTGATACCTGATTTCACTTAGCACTCAACGAGTTTCATTATAATGCTCATGGTCACCATCTTGGGTCATTAAAAACAGTTGCAGTCGCCATCTTGGGTCATCAAATACTTTTGGTTTCACTTAACGCTTGTTTTTTCTGGAACCAATTAAGAGCACTAAGCGGGGGTTGCCTGTACCTGGGTTCCATCACATGTACATATGTCACTATAGAAGAAGTTAAGGAAATGCAAAATCCGTGTTGTAGCAGTATAGGCAGATTATGACTCCCATTAACTTCTGCCTGGTAAAAACCAAAGGATTTAATAGATTTCATAGACATTAGGGCTGGAAGGGACCTCGGAAGATCATCGAGTCCAGCCCCCAGCCCGAAGGCAGCTGGGGTCATAGGATCCCAGCAAGATAAGCATCCAATTTTTCATTGAAGGTGTTCAATGTAGGTGCTTGAACCACGTCCGATGGCAGGCTGTTCCAGACCTTGGGGGCTCAGACAGTAAAAAAATTCTTCCTTATGTCCAGCCTGAATCAGTCTTGCAGTAGTTTGTAACCATTCGACCTCATCGTCTCTTGGAGCGCTCTGGTGAACAAACATTCCCCCAGATCCTGGTGGTCACCCCTGATAAACTTATAGGCGGTCATCAGATCTCCCCTGAGACTGCGCTTTTCCAGGCTAAAGAGCCCCATAACTCTCAGCCTGTTGTCGTAAGGTCTGTTTTCCTGACCTCTGATCATGCGCGTGGCTCTTCTCTGGATTCTTCAAGTCTCTCCACATCCTTTTTGAATTGTGGGGCCCAAAACTGGACGCAGTACTCCAGCTGCGGCCTCACCAAGGCCGAGTACAACGGGAGAATGACGTCCTGGGATTTGCTTGAGAAGCATCTATGGATGCAGGCCAGCATTTTGGTTGCTTTACTAGCCGCAGCATCGCATTGAAGGCTCACATTCATCTTGTGGTCAATGATGACCCCCAAGTCTCTTTCTTCCACAGTGCTCGCCAGCGTAGCACTGCCAAGCCTATAAGGATGCTGCAGGTTTTTCCTCCCAAGGTGGAGAACCTTGCATTTTTCAGTGTTAAACACCCATCAGGTTCTCATCCGCCCATTTGGTCAGCCTGGACCGCCCTCCTGTCTTCAGGTGTGGATGCTTTGCCCCAAAGTTTGGTGTCATCAGCGAACTTGGCCAGTCCACTTCCAACTCCAATGTCCACCTCATTAATAAAGATGTTGAACAATATGGGTCCCAGGACAGAGCCTTGGGGGACCCCACTGGTCACAGGGCAACATGACGATTGACTTCCGTCAATTACCACCCTCTGGATCCGACCACGGAGCCAATTTTCCAGCCAGCAGATCGTGGTGGACCCAAGGCCACAATTGGCCAGTTTTGCCAAGAGGCTATCATGGTATACCAAATTGAAGGCTTTTTTGAAGTCAAGATATATGACATCAATCTCTTCTCCCTTGTCCAGGTGATAGGTTACCTGGTCGTAGAAGGAAATGAGGTTGGTCAAGCAAGACCTACCCACAACAAACTCGTGCTGGCTATCCTTCAGGATGTTGGTGTCAGCAGTCCATTAAGGATGGCCTCTTTAATAAACTTTTCTAAGACTTCCCTGGGATAGAGGTCAGGCTGATGGGCCTATAGTTTGCTGGATCCACTTTCCTCCCTTTCTTGAAGATAGGTACCACATTGGCCTTCTTCCAGTCTTCGGGCACTTCACCAGAGCGCCAAGAGTTCTCAAAGATCCGTGCCAGAGGCTGGGCTATGATGCTCGCCAGCTCCTTAAGTACCCTGGGGTGAAGATTGTCAGAGCCAGCTGACTTGAAGGTATCCAGCCTCTCAAGGTGTTCCTTCACAAGGTCAGCATTGATGGAGGGCAGGGAATCTCCTTCACCCAGACCTACCTGTCCCGTAGTGGGCATGGGTGTCCCATGGAACTGATGAAAGACCAACGCAAAGTACCCAAAGTATGCAAAGGAGGAGAAAGAGGATTTAGATAGCACTGAACACAGCATGCTTGGATATCAAATGTGCTTGGACAGGATAGAATAGGTCAAAGAGGGAGGAAATCAGAATAATTCTGCAAGGATGGGCAGTTGGTGATTTTTTATGGACAATGAATTGGAGATGATGTGAATATACTAAGAAAACAAAAGGAGATCATGTTGCCAAGAAACTGCTGAATGCAGAAGTACCAGAAGTTATAAGAATGGAGAAAACTCAAGGGAAGGCATCTAAATCAAATGAAGGAGGATATATGAATATGAAATCGGAGAAAGGCCTGATCACTAACAGAGAGGTGGGGAGAAAGTAGATTTAAACCACCAGTCAAAAGTTCATGAGGCTTGAAACTCATGGAGAAGACAAACTTCAGAATTCATGTAGCAATAGGGATAAGCAAGAACCAAAGCTTTACCCAGGGAAACAAGGGCTTGGTAATTCCTCAGCATTTGGTCCCGGTAAAGCACCTTGTCTTCATCTTCCAGCAGCTTCCACTCCTTCCATGTGAAATGAAGAGCCACATCCTCAAAGACATCCCAGAGCTGCAGTCACAAGCATTACAGCATCAATATATCCTATTCCAGCTGCTTCCAGCCCCCACAGCCCTATCTCTACTTACTCTTTACTACAAAGTTTTGCAAGCTTAGCCATGATAGGTAGGGGTACAAAATTCCCCATTATTCAGCTGTCATATGATGTGGATATGGCTCGGTGAACATAGGAGTTAATGTGTCTGCCTTAACCCATCTCATCCTGGGAGATGGTGCAGCTAATTTTAGTTGGCATAAGGTGTTAGCCCAGTGGAGGGTCAGTAGTGTAGGTGCTCTAAGTCATCATCAGGAAGCTGTTGATCATGGCAGTGACTCACAGCAAGGACTCTTGCATGGGAGGTGGGACCCCAAGAATTTATCCTTTTCCAACAGACACCATCCCAAGGAACTCCAGAGCCTGCCACAGCGATGTCAAGAGTTTCTCTTTGCTTCCCATGTGGCTTTGAGGTGGGAAGCTAAGAGCCTGCAGTGAGACTGGCTGGCCCCATAGAATCATAGAAAATTAGGGTTGCCAACTAGACATCAAGCCATTGATTACTAGCCTCTGAGGCCAATGCTCCAGCCAGTTTTCTATCCACCTTGCAGTTCATTCATCCAGCTCGTACTTCCTTAGCTTGCCTGTGAGAATGTTGTGGGAGAAAAAAAAGCCTTGCTAAAATCAAAGTATACCACATCCACTGGTCCCCTGCATCCACAGAGCCAGTCATCTCATCATAGAAACCAATCAGGTTGGTCAGGCATGACTTGCCCTTGGTGAATCCATGCTGACTGTTCCTCATCACCTTCTTCTCCTCCAAGTGCCTAGAAATGGATTAATTTTCCTAGGGATTGAGGTGAAGTGAGGCTGACTGGTCTGTAGTTCTCTGGATCCTCCTTTTTCCCTTTCCCTAAATATGGCCACAATGTTTGCCCTTTTCCAATCATCTGGGACCTCTTCTGATCACTATTATTTTTCAAAGATGATGGCCAGTGGCTCTGCAATCACATCAACCAACTCCCTCAGCACCCTTGGGTACATCCCATCTGGCCCCATGGGCTTGTATATTTCCACCTTTTCTAAATAGTGCCTAACTTATTCTTTTGCCACTGTTGACTGCTCACCTTCTCCCCAGACTATGCAGCCATACAACACAGGGGAACCCCCCTCTCTCAATGATGTCTCACCTGTGCAGGGGCTGCTGTAGGTATCTCTGCTGTGTCTAGCTGAGGATTGCAGGGAAGGGAAATGAAGAGAAAGAGAAAGAGAGGCTGCAAGGCTGTGGGTCCCCAAAGGTTGTGACAGGTTGGGCAGGCTGGACTCAGAGCAAATGAGTTCAGAAATAAATGGAAGAAGAAATGTGGTTTTCAAACTCCAGGAACTGTCATATTGCAGTCTCTGGAAATGGAGTCTCAAAGTTCCTGGACTCCTTTGGGCAGAAGTCACACCTATCATCATGGAAGAATTTTCTATGGAAGGTATCAGCTCTGGAGCTGTGTCTTTTCTCCCCATCAGATCCTGGTACAGGGGACAGGGACTGGTATTCATTTCACTTTCTTAGGGTTTGCACAAACACTGGCTTTCTTTACCTTACACACAATTAGATATGGCAACTCCCTATACGCAATTACAAATGGCAATGCCATGGGGATGCATATGGCCCCCACAGCATGTCAATATTTTTAAGACAGACCTGGAAGTCTGTTTCCTCCATAGTTGCCTCTCATCTCCTTCATATACCTAAGCTACAGGAATAACATCTTCATTTTATGGACAGATCAGAAGGAACCCCTAGAGAAATTTCACCAGGATTTTAACAACTTCCACCCCTCCCTCAAATCAACACTGGAATATTGCATCCAGCAAATTCTTTTCCTAGACACAACGGTGAAGGTTTGCAATGGCTACGTTGCCACCATGTCATATCAGAAACCTACCGACTGCTACAGCTAGCTTTCATCCTAAGTATACCACTAGATATCCACAGTCCAACTCTATGCTACAACAATATCTGTTTCAATACCTCCCACCTACCAGGATGCACACCTTAAGAGCCTAAAGGAGAGAATCCTAGAGTTAGAATACAATCCCAAAACTGTAGTCACTGCAAGCAACAAATCCAGACTCAGATGTCATTTCAACCTCCTGCAATACCAACCTGGGAAACAAAGACAACAGAGTGCCACTGCTAGTGTCACCCACAGCCCCGACTCATCCAGGGGGTGGGGCTTCCGCTGCTCTGTACACCCTGGGAGGGCATGGTGGGGGTGGCGGAAGGGAAACGTATGCCCCCAGATTTGCATGGGGCACAGGTAGCACAGGCTACAGCTGTGGGGTGGGGCCAGGGCAGTGCTGGGCTCTTCCCAGCAGGGGCTGGGTCAGGCTGTGCTCAGGGCAGACGGCGGCCATGCTGGGTGGGGGCTACAGCTACCCCAAAATTCACCATAGCCCTCCCCAACTCCCCCTCCCAGCACCACTGCCACCCACCCCAAGCACAGCCCCGGCCCCCTCCCCCACCCATATGCTGGGAAGAGCTTGGCACAGCCCCAGTCCCACTCCTTCCTTCACCATGGGGGCCTCAATCTGACAATGTCAGTCTTTCAGGGTTGGTTCAGCGATTATTTTTGTCCTGCAGCTGAAAAATATTGTGCTGAAAACAATCTGTCTCACAAGGCACTTCTCATTTAGACAATGCACCAGGGCATCCTACCACACTTGATGGCCTCAGTGATAATTTAAAAGCTGTTTTCCTGCTCCTCAATACCACCTCTATTTTACAACTGATGGACCAGGATGCCATTGCTGCCTTTAAGGATTATTACATAAGGAAAACATTTGCCCAGGCTGTCAGGGCTACAGGTGGAGAGGGTGCTCCAACCCTAAAAGAATTTTGCAAGGGCTATAATATCCGCAAAACAACAGATAACATTTCAAGTGCCTGGGAGGAAGTTGCTTCTAAAACAATGGCATCTGGTGAAAGCTTTGGGCATACTGTATGCAGGCTTCCCAAGGGTTTGAGGAACCACTGGTGACAATTCAGGGCATTATCATTGACTTTGGAAGGAAAATTGGATTTGATAAACTTGAACCTGAGGACATTCAGGAGTTGATAGTTTCCAACAGGGAGGAATTGGGCAATGAGGACCTCATTCAAACAGAACAGCAGAGAACCCATGAAGAGGAGGAAGATGTTCAACCAGCAAGGGCCTTAACCAGCAAAGGTATGGCTGAAGCTTTCAAACATCATGAAGCTTCTCTTTCCTACTTCGACGAGAATGACCCTGACACGCAGTACAGTTCTGCAGTTGCAAGAGGAGTTAACAATGAAGTCAGTTGTTACAGGCTGCTTCACTATGACAAGAAGCAGCCCAAAGTGCAGCTATCAATGGATTCCTTTTTCAGGAAATGCACAACTCCAGCTTCAACCCCTGCAGCCAGCTCTCAAAAAAATCCTCAGCCAAGCATTTCAAAATCCCCTGAAACTGACACTACCCCTGACAGCTCTGATTCTGAGTGCTGAGGGAAGCCCAAAGAGCAAAAAGTGAAAGTGAATCTGTGCATACAGTTCATTACTTTATTTTGTAATTTTATACATTATTTCAAAGTTCTAAGTGTTAAATAAAGCATTAACATACATTTAGATGTCTGAATCCAGTGATTTTATGAGTGGGGATTTCAGTGATTTTTTAAGTACGAGTGGGGAGGCCTGGGAACGAATTATATTTACTCATTCTAAATTGAGAAAAATTGCTTGGAAACTGAAAAAGCAGGAAAGATTGTCTTTTGTTTTCTAGCATAAGAATAAACAGGAAGAGGGAGGTAAAGACTGAGTTTGCTGCATAACCCAGTATTTTGAGTTTCTCAGATGGACGTGGCTGAAATTATCTATTTAATTTTTGTTAAAAACAAACACATTTCACATTCATAATTAAATAGTTAAAAATTCAAAAATACATATGCTTTTGTTAAAATAATTATGCATGTTTGTTGTTGAAAAAATATCCAAAATACATAAGCTTATTGTTTTAATTAAATGAAACAATTTAAATGTTTGTTGTTTTTGGTGACTCTTGTTGTTCTCCTAATACAGATAAGCAAAAATATCCCCCACATATCCATGAGTAATCTAGTAAATTGGAGATAGTTCACCTCCCAATGACTTCACAAGTATCTACGTCAATTAGTTTTGGTAAATAAAATAACAAAATCATAATTCAGTTTTCTGATGTAGCTGCAAAATTAAATCTGAAAAAATAATATCAAAATAAATCACTGCTTTAAAACGTAAAATGTGTGTACCTTCTAAAAATGAAACCTACATCTCTGAGTTTTGAATAATATGAATTAAGGTTATATCAAACAACAAGAATGCACTTTTTTGTAGAAAACAGAGATTAAAATTGAGGCTTCTTGACCAGTGATTTAAATAGTGATTTAAATTGATTTGGTTCAAATCAAATCTACCTTGGACACATCATTAATGGCCTCCATCCCCACCTGGAAAAGGACAGTTGTTTCAGTGTAGCCCTAAGGGACAAACCAATCTGGCTAACAGATAGCCCCCCAACCTCCAACAGCCTCTCAAACAACAGGTTAAATAACTCCTATTCTCACCAAGGCACCAGGCCTTGTAATGGACCCCGACACAAACTGTGCTCCCTCTTTACACACCACATCACCACCGTGCCAAATAATATGGATTACAGCAGCTGAGGACCATTTACTTTGAACTCTGCCATTCTCATATAGGCTGTCTCCTGCTTACAAAGTGCCCCTTTGTGGTCTACACTGTCAGATGGTGCAATCCCTACAGGAAAGACTGAATGAACCCCAATCTGACATCAGGTCCAGGAAGACGCAAAGGCTTGTGGCAGGATACTTTAACCTCCCTGGACATTCCATTGCTGACCTCAGAGCAGCTGTTCTTAAACCAAAACACTTTAAAAAACAAAGTTGGAATGTGGAATTGTGCAACAAGAAGTCATCCACAGGCTGAATTGTGCTAAATACAATCTCAATAGGGACTGTAGATTCTTACCCAATTACCTAGATTAGCTTCTGTGTCCCCTTTGTGTGGAGGGGCTCTTAACTTATTTTCCCCTCTCCCAGCACTGTCCCCCTCTCTTCCTCCCACATTTGGTATTCAAAAGACTCCATTTGATAGTCTGGCTTGTGCATGTCCTTTCATTGCATCTGAAGAAATGAGCTTAGGCCCGCAAAAAACTTCTGCTATGCCTCTCTGATTCACTTAGTTTGTAAGATGCAAATCTCTCCTGTCCTCTGCCTGAACTCAGACTAAACACAGGTAATTAGCAGCCAGGTACGCTGCTCATTCCTCCTAAACTGCCTGCCCATGAAGCTGCCCAGGTACTGGCTAGGCTGGAGGGGCCTTGCTGGAATCAGATGTAGAGTCTGTGCTCCACAGTCCAGGCCAGGTTGGAGGGGACTTGCTGGTCTCAGCTGTAGAAAGCAATGCCTCATGCTTCCTGGTGCTGGCTGGCTGTCACGGTATACCTAAAGGGGCTTCTTCAGGACTTAAAATGTTCTATTTGATCAATCCTTAGAGGTAGCTCTTCTAGAGGTAGAGGGAGCCCTGGCTCTATGGCCTCTGACCTGGCTTTCTGACCTCTCCCTCCCCAAAATTCTACCTTGTACCCCTGGCTCCTCCTCACCTCTGCCCCAGCTTCATTCTCACCCTAAACTGAACCTGGTGCCTTGCTCACCTCCAAGCTCTCCCCCAGCTTTGGAGGTCTGCCTTGCCACTTCTGCAGTTGGCCCAGATCAGGTGTAAAGGAGCCCCTCTCTCCCAGTGTCCCTGGGGAAGTCCTCTGCAGCTCCAGCTTAACAGGCCCTTCCTTAGGAGCCTGCTTCTCAGCTCCACTCAAGGTTTCTGCACCTGCTGTGGGGGGAAGAGAATGCATAAGTTAGCCCTGGTGCTGCTGGCACTGGGAAAGCCCTACTACTCTCCTGTACTGGCCTGTGACTAAGGAAGCTGGAGGCTTCAGTGCATGGAAGAGGTGGGAGAAGGAAGACTCAGCTCTGGCTAATACACCTCTGTTGGCATGAGGCTGGACATGAAATCCAATAACTCTGTCCCAGGGCAGGGTGCTGATCACAATGCCAGGTCAGAGCCTTCAGGGACATCGCTCCCTGGGAAAGAAGCTCAAGGAACGTTGGTGCAGTGTCATCATTTTAAGGGGAGGAGAAGGAAAAACGCAAGGTTCATCTGCTCTATGGTGTGTGAATGGTTTCCCAGTGCACTCCAACAACAGAAGCTGATCTATCTAGCAGAGAGAGTTTTCCATTCATGGATCATGCCTCCTGCCACTGGATAGGGTAAAATCACCACTCCTTACCTGCCTTGTCCAGGGCACCAGCCTGAAGAGCTTTCATCTGTTGACCAGTCCCAAGTCTCCTTGGTACTCGGGGAAGCTGCAGCAAGACAGGAGTGGGGCGGGTTAACTGTACACAAACCAGACAAATGTCACTGAGGAAGTGCATTTCCCTGACACCTGCACCAGCCCTTTAACGGGCACAAAGGGTTTGTAGGGGCATGAGAAAGGGCTGATTAAAATACTGATTAATAGAAAAATCAACTAGCTCATGGACTGTTACCATGGTAGCACTACAAGGCCCAACAAAGATAGAGCATATTTCTGCTAGGAGCTACCCACATGCAGCGAGAAAGATCAGGGACCCCCAACCTGGGTGCTGCACACCCCAGCCACACGGTTACAGACATCATGGCCCCGTCATGAGCAGAGGCAGACATATGAGCATCTTCCCCTGCATGCAGGCCCACAGCGTGGCCAGCATCCAGTACCTTACCCGACTCCTGGTTGGGCAGGGGCTCCTCTTTGGGGACATGAGGTGGTTTGTCCCGGGGTTTCCCTCTGTCCTGCCTCCCCCATAGGCATGTTCACAGGATAGGCCTTCGGCTGCACCAGCCAGGAATCGCACGGTTCCTGCCATTCCCCACTGTGCTGCACCGTGCCTGAGGACACCTCCTTGATTTCCACACTTACTGTGACCTGGGGACAAGATAACTATGTCACTGGCAAGTCAGGCACTGGGAGAAATGGGGCTAGGAGGGAACATCTCCCAGACACATGGAGGTGAGGAGAGCAACATCAATGATTAGGATAACATGATCACTCTCAGCTGGAGCTTCTCATCCTCTACCTGCCTCAGCTAAAACACCCTGATCAGGGCCACTGCCTCAGCACAGGTCTCCACGCCACACTCCCACTCCCAGCTCTGGATCTCCTGGAGCAGAATGGCCAGGAACAGCCCCAGCATCGCCAGCTCCAGGATTTGTTGCGTGCTGTGGTGCTGAGATCCAGCCAGCACTAGCAGAGCTGCTACAGGTGGCTGCAAACCTCCCACTGCGCTTTGGCCTCCTGGTAGCAGAAGCCATGGAAACACTGGCATGTCTCCAGGGCGAGGAGGTCATCTTCCGGTGCCAACTGTGGGGTCACCAAGGGCAGCTCAGCCTCAGAAAGGGGCTGCATGGCCTGGTTCACCTCCTGCTCCTGGACCTCCTGGGGTTGGACCAGCCCCACCTACAGCTGCTGCTTGCTTGGCTCTGGTACCAACCACCTCGAGGACACCCCACCGGTCCTGGACTGGAGGACACCAGGGACTTCTTCTGTTCCCTCAGCTCCTACCTGGAAACCTCCTGGGTCCTATTCCTCCATCTTCACCTCAGGGGCTGAGACAGGAAAGTCCACAGCTGCCATGGGCTCCAGCTCAGCAGCCATTTTCTCCACCAGGAGAAGCAGCACCACAGCCTGGGGCTTGGGCTCGTGCTCTCCCTCCGCTCAGGCTCCTGTCAAAAGCATCCCATTTCCGGAGCTGCCAGGAGGAAAGGAGACGGTGCAGCTCTCACCGTGTGACGAGAGACCCGAGACCATGACCTTATGGTCTGCCCAGCTCTGACAGACTGTCAGGACGCGGCAGGCTTCAGAAACATCCCTCCCCACAGCTCCCCGTCCCCTCTGCCAGGTCCCGCGCACACCTGCGCGCGGCGCCCGGCCGGGCGGGAAGACAAGCCGCCGCCGCAGCACTTCCGGCTCGAAGCCCCACCCCGTGCTGGGGGCGGGGCCGGGGCGCGGTGTCTGCGGCCAGGGTTACTCCTCCCCCGGGCGGGCCGGGGCGGGGCTGTCTGGACCGCAGGCTTCTCCAGGCCGCTGGGGTCCAGTCCACAGCCCTCAAATTAGCCGCGCTCGGGGCAGCGGAGCCAGGTGAAGCGTGAAACCGGACAGGAAAGACGTGCCCTCAGCCGCAGAAGGAACAGTGCAAACCAGAGAAGATGCGGCGCAGCCCGTCCAGCTCCGCAACGCCGCCCTGCCTGCCCCTTGAGAGGGCTCTTCGCTTCCCCCTTTCCCCGCCCGCTTCGCGGTCACGTCTCACCGCCTCGCACTCCGGCGGCAGCACTTCCCCTGCTGGAGGCCCGCCGGCTCCTTTGCCGCCTTCGCAGGGGGTCTTGATGTGCCCTCTGCCCCTGCAAGCCCTTTCCACTTCACAAAGAAAGTAGACTGAAACTTGCCTGCTGTGCTGGGCAGCCACACACCAGGGCTGCAATCCTGGCTTCATGTCTGAGTGTGCACACCCCCCTCGCCCTTTGCTGCAGCAGCCTGGAGCCTGTGGCTGGGCTGCCCTGTAGCTGTACCTGCTGCCCTGTGTTTGGGGGGGGGCTCAGCCCCAGTAGCCCCTGCCTTTCACCGCCTATGTGCCCTCCAATCCGGAGTGAGTACTCACTCCAAAAATGTGACATGCTGACATACACGCTTGTGGTGATCCTCCGGTCACCTGAGGTGAGCTCGGGAGGGTTACCTCTCTTTTCAAGAGGTTTCCCTGCTTTGATTTCCTTATCATGACAGTTGGTCAGGCTGCCCCAACCTCCCCAGAGAAGGATGGCCAGGCTTTCCCAATAACCGTGGGTCGGTTTGCCAGGCCATCCTGATTACTCTGGGGTGGGTCTGTTGGGCCAACCCGACTTCCCCAGAGCCAATGTGTTGGGTCCGTCCAACCGCACTGGTGTTGGTCCCTTGGGCTGCCCCAACCATCCCAGGGACAGTTGGTCAAGCCAAATCTACTACCTGGGGTTAGTTGATAGGGCCAATCGGACCATCCAGAGTCAGTTAGAGAGTCAGCCCGACCACCCCAAACTGCCCCGAATGCTCCGGAATTGGTCAATCAAGCCCACCTCAATACCCCAGAGTTAGTCAGTAGGACTACAGGGTCAGGAGGAGGGCCAACTCGAACACCTAGGGATCAGTCAGCTGGACTGTCCTGAACACCCTGTGGTCACTCTCTTAGGCCCTACTAAGCACCCTGGGGTATGTCACTGGGGTCAACCATACTATCCCAGAGTCGCTTTATGGGCCGGCCCAACCACCCCACCTATGGTCAATTGGTTAATAGTTGATCCAACAACCCCAGGATCATTTGGATGTGTCGGCCTAAGAACCCTGGGATCCCATTAGTTGCTTGAGAGGGCTGATTTGACTACTTTGGATTCAGTCAGTAGGGCCAATCAGAGCACCCTGGCATCAATCCTCCAGAAGGTGGAGGATTCAAATAGGGGATCATCTATCTTAGATCTTGTCCTGACCAGCAGGGAAGAATTAGTAGAGGATGTGAAGGTGATGAGTAACTTGGGAAGTGATCATTGTGCGGGCCGGGCGCGCCCCGAGCCCTTTTTCGCGCTGCACGCGGGCTGTGGCCAGCAGCCCGGGCACGCGGGGGTGGAGAGGGGAGGCTTTCGCTCTGGAATTAGGCACGGACGCGTATCGGTAGTTTAAAAGATTGTTTACTTACACCGAGATGGCAGTGGTGTAGGCTGGAAAGCTTGCTTCAGTTGCAGTTACAGAGAAGAAAAAGGAAAGAGGCGGACGAGAGTTCTAGACTCGTGAACTCTAGCCCAATCTGGCTGAAGGCTCTGAACATGCGAGCCTGTCGCGTCAGCCGAAGAAAGTACTCGTCCGGAAGAGCTCTGAGCCAACTCACACGAAGTTTGCTAGGCCCCGTGGGTCCAGTTCTTTTGCGCGCAGGTGGGGTACGTCTAGGAATTCTATCGGCGACAGGGAGAGGCTAGAGATTGATCAGATCTCCGTAGCCCTCCTCAAACGGACTGGGTCCGTGAGGATCCGCAGCCGCCACGTGTGAATAATTTAGAACTGGCCAATAATGGGACTCAAATCTACATACAAATGGCGGGAACTCTTTGCAACGAGCATTTCTGTGCTGCAACAAAGAAATGCACCCTGCAAAGAAAGCTCCAAATCAGCGGGAAATTCTCCCTTGCACCGGGGTTCTCTTTTGCAGCAGAAAACTCCACCGTGCAAGGAAGCTTGCAATTTAGCGGGGACAATTTAGCAGTGCCGAAGCACACACAAATAAAAATCACACCTTTTGGGTTGTGACAATCATGATAGGATAGAATTCCAGATAATGAGATGGGGAAAGCATGAGGTCAGCAAAATCAAGACGCTAGATTTCAATCGATTCAGGGAGTTAATAGGCCATGGGAAGTTAGACTGAAGGATAATAGTGGCCAGGAGGGCTGGGAGTTTCTAAAGGGCACAGTATTGGAAGCCCAACAAGAAACTGTTTTGACACTATGGAAGCTCAAGAAGAAAAGCAAAGGATCAATGTGGCTCCTTGGATGGCCTAAATGCAAAAGGAAAGCATACGGGCAATGGAAAAATGGGCAGGTCTCAAAGGAAGCATACCAGGAAATAGCAAGAACCTGGAGGGACAAAATCAGAAAGGCAAAAATAAAAATGAGCTGCATTTGGTGAGGGAGGTTAAAGACAACAAGTATACTGACCAGAAAAGAAAGACCAAGGAAGCTGTGGGTCCACTGTTAACTTGCCAGGGTGAACTTTTAACAAGATGAAAAGAAGGCAGAGCTACTTAACAGCTACTTTACCTCAGTCTTCACAAAAAAAAAAAAGCTAATAAACTTATGTGAATAAGGAAGGGGCTAAGATGAGGGATGAGATAACAAAAGAGACTGTCAGAGAGCTTTTGATAGGTTTCAATGAATTCAAGTCAGCAGGGCCTGATAAATTTCATCCCAATGTAGTGAAGGAACTGGCAGAGGCATGGGTGGGGCACGACTGGGGGTGTCCCCCAGCAGCCAGCCGGCAACTGGGGGAAGGGGTCTCCCAGCAGCACTTCTGCCTCAGTCAGTGTGCCGCTGCTGGAGCCAATTTCAGTGCCCCCCTACCATCCAGAGCGCTTGCTGTCAGGGGGGGCACCTGTCCCCCTACATGTTGCCTATGGGCAGAGGAGATCTCAGAGCACTTGGCAATGATCTTCATGAAGTTTTGGGAGACGGGCAAGGTACCAGAGGGCTGGAAAAGGGACATATAGTGCCTCCCTTTAAAAAAAGGCAACAAGGACCTGGGGAACAACAGACCAGTTAGCCTCACCTCAAAATGTGGGAAGTTATTGGAGCATATCCTGCGGAAGTCTATTTGCAAGTGCCTGGAAGAGAAAAAGCTGATCACAATCAGCCATCCCTAACAGACTATGTCCAATTTTTTAGGGTTGTCTGCTGAGAACCCTAACAGAAGTGCCTGTAGACACTTGCAGCAGAGACTAGGATCATTCTATAGGCAAAGTTGGGACAGTGCAAACCATGCAGTTGCTCATTTCGGTTACATTAGAGTTATGTTCTAATAGGCTTAACAGGAGGAGAGGACCCAGACTGACCCTCTGCCTAGGATACCTAAAAGTATAAACACCATCATGGTCCAGAGAATGTTGAATTATCAACTTCTTCCACGGATGCCAGGAAGCTGTCTGTGGGTGGAGAAACTCTGCTCTGCATTTGGGACAGGAACAATGGCAACAACTGGCCAGGAGGTGGCAAGCTAAAGCCACGGTCAGGACAGGAGGCAAGGTAGGAGGATGATCCCAGGAAAAGGTGGCTGCCTTTAAGGTGAATGTATTTGCCTGCCAGATGGGAAGTCTATGGCCAACCCCTTTAAAGCAGGTAGAGGCAGTAAATGGGTAGAGAGAACTGGATTTTCCACTTCCCTGCTTTAGGCTTTCGTCACATCTCCAGGACAGTGCAGCTGGCAGGTTTTGCAATGTGCGCGCTCCAGTCAGGCTTCCGGAGATCCTCACACGCGGGGAGCAAGCCCCAGGGCTCGAGGGCCTAAGCAGAGAGGTGCAGGATGTGGAGGGCTGGGAGTCGCGCTTCCTCCCCACAGAATATGAAGTGGAAATTCCCTGGCAGCCGGACGGATTGCTCCCTGGGGCTCCTCCTGCTTTGTGCACTCCTTCCTTCTGAGATACCTGGGAAAGAAGGTAAGGAAAGTGCCTGCACCCTCCTCCCACCTTGCCATGGCCTTTCTCTAGCCCCTGCAGCTGGGCACATGGGCTCCTTGGGGGACCGCAGGTGGGACGAAGTGATACTCCTTTAGTGGACACGAGAGAGGAGGGGGCTGCAGAAGAAGCTCTGTCAGGAGACAGAAGCCCCAGGCAGGGCAGCAGGAAAGGAGCGGCTGCATGGAGTGATGTGGAGGCTGAGAGCACATGGTGGGGGTCCCTGGGAGCACTCCTTGCTGTACATTTATCTTGCAGCTGCGTAAACTTTTTCATCCCATGCCTGACAAAGGGAAAGGCAGGGAGGGAGAATCCTACTCTCCCCACTGCCACTTCTGATGGGTGGGGGAAGCTTCACCCCCTGTCAGTTTAAGCCCAACTCTTTAAAGCATCCAGAATGGGTTTTCCTTCCCATGCACTGAACAGAGACTTTGAGGGTAACAAACTCAGACCAAAAAATCTCCTTCCCCGCTCCTGGAGGAATTTCCTTGGGAGCAGGAGAAGTAGTTCACCCTCCCAGCAGCAACAGGGCTTTGTATTTTAATTTCTTGGTTGTGAAGAGAATGTGGGAGCCTTGGTCAGCCCCTGCTTCCTTGCAGCAGCGTCAGTAACCAGTGCTGGGCTTTAGCATCTTTTACTTCTCGAAATTCTCCAATTCTCCCTCAGGAACATGCAGTTTTACATCTTACTGACTTCTTTCCCTTCCCCTCCACCTCTTAGGCATGACTCCCCTCCTTTCTCCCTCCTGCTTAACTCTCTGCAAAATATGGTGATAGATATTTATGCAGCTACAGTACGGCATGTGAAAATTTGAGGTATAAACTCTAGCTAGAGCTGAGAGGCAGAAAGGCTGTAAATTGCCCCTTTCTCCTGTCCCACTCTGCACATTGAGGTTCTTCTGTTCCACTGAAGATTCACTTGCTGACTTTCTTTCCTGCCTACCCCCAGCACACCCCTTAGAAGAGCCATCTGTACCAAGTGTCCCTGGTCCTGAGCAGGCGGTTTAAGGACATGGCCCTTACTTTACAGAGAGGTTGGAACAAATGAGTTTCTAGATACATTTGGCTGCATCAGAGAGGCCCATACTGGCTCAGAAGTACTCCAGATTAGGCTCTCCATACTCCAGGAACCGATTTGTCTGTCAAAGCTTTACCAAAGAACAGATTGGACTGGATTACAGGCAATCATGATCCACTCAGGACAAGAAGAGAAAAATTTCAGCTCTTAAATGGCTTATTGATAGTCAGTTCTTTCCTAATGTGGTTGCATCGGTGTGAGGTTAACAGATACCTGCAGGGAATTCTTCAGGCATTTTCTCTTACACTTCTGCAGCACAGTCTCCAGCCAGGTCTACAGCAGAGGCATTTTGGACCACTTCTCATTTCATGTGCCTGTTAGTTATGTAGCTGCAGAACTTCAGTTTTTGCGATTTATATACTATGCGGGATTCAGCATAGCTATTCCTACCCAGTGCTTCCCTATTTTGCACGCTCAATAGGTTGCATCCTGACTGCCCAGATACATGGGTGAAACAGAACTGACCAGGCATTCATTTAATGCTGGGTAAGTTCCCAAGGTTTCGTTGCAGAAAAGCCATAACTAACAGGTGTTTGACACCTGAGAAGGAGGACAGCACGTATCCTATCTTTTAGTCCAGGGCTGGGCTGCATATATGGCAGAGAGGAGCTGGGCTAGGCCTGTGGCACAGAAAAGCCTAGCTGCCCAGGCAGCATTGAGAGGAAGAACCCCAGGAGTCCACAGCCCATAGGTTGTGTGGCCCAGGGTCTGCAGTGTGGATGGTGTAAGATTCCCTTACCATCCAGAAGTTGGACAGCCCTGTTTTAGCCTATGGCCGATGGCTAAGGTGTCTGCTCAAGGAACGGGAGTGGTAGGTTCTAGGACAGGAGCGGGCAATTATTTCGGGCGGAGGGAGGGCCATTTACACAGTTTTGGCAAGCTGTCAAGGGCTGCATGGGTAGCCCCGCCCCTTGATAGGTGCCCCGCCCCCTGGCCACCATCTTGTGACTGGAAGTCCCGCCTCCTCACCCCTGACCTTTGCCACAGCAGTCCCTCCCCTTGCCCCCAGAAGTACTCCTTTCAACAAGGGGTTTTGCCATCTCGGAACCAGAAAAATTCCAAATTATATTCTAAAAATCAAACATCTACAACATTCATTAATTTGATTTCAAAAAATATTTTTGTCCTGATTAATATGTGTTTGTGTAATGTACACAGAGGTGATTGTTTGTAATAGCTTAAGATGAAGTTACTTACTCTTATATATTGTATATATTATACATTTCTTATTCATATATTGTGGGGGGTGTAGGTTTGTGGGGGTCTGTGGGTATGTAGGGTGTTGGGGAGGATGTGGATGTATCTCTGGGTGTGGAGTGAGGGAGCATGTGGGTGTGTGTGTGGATATGTGGGGTGTGGAGTTTGTGGGGGCTGTGTGGGGGAGAGTGCCTGAGGTGTGTGAGGGAGTATGGTGGTCTGCATGTATGGCAGTGTGAGGGGGGTGTGGGTGCATGTGTATGATGGGATGTGCATGTGGGACTCACCCTATGAACACACAAACATGAACAGTCCCTCCCTACACACACACACACACACACACACACACCCTCCCTACACACCCACAGTCCCACCCTACACATGCACACCACAGTCCCTCCCTCCCTACGCACACACAGTCCCTCCCTATGTACACACACTGCCCCCCTACACACACACACACACACACAGACAGAAGACATAACCCCCTAATCTGCCACAGGGAAAGCAGGGGAACAGTGGTGGTCAGTATTCTGCTTCTATAAAAGGTTGTTAATATATGCTTAAGAGATCCAAGGAACAGGGCCACATCCCTTGCTACAGAGGAAGGCAAAAACACCCATAGTCAATATCAATCTGATCATGGGGTAAAATTCCTTCTTGACCCCAAATATAGTGATTGGTCTGACCCGAAGTGGAGGAGCAAGACTCTCTAGCCTGGAACTTCTGGGCTTAAGTTCCAGCAGGAGCACTGGCACACCCCAGTCAAAATTTCCAGCCTTGGGTTCAGCCAACACCTAGTGCCTCTGAGGAAGGCTTAAAAACACCCTGACACATGTAACAGAAAAGTGTGTGTGGGGTGGGGGAGTGGAATTCCCTCTCAACCCTATGTGACAACCAACAAAAGCCAGATGTATGGGAAATGCCCGTAGTAGAAAATACGCATAGCTACGCCGGTATCATCTCCCACTAGTGGTTGTCCAACCTCTTCTTGAACACTTCCAATGATGGAGAGTCCACAACTTCCCTAGGCAGTTTGTTTCACTGCCTCACTGTTCTAACAGTGTAAGACCCTGGAGATGATAGTGCCTGTCCACTGGGCACTGGTTAGGCCTCAACTGATTTGTTGTCAAATCAGCATCCATTCATTCTTTTACATTGGAACTGCTTCATCTGACCAGTGTAGACAGTGTTGAGTGGTCTGTTAGACACTGGAAGGGCTGCTAATTAAAGCAGACAGCCACATCCAGCAGGCAGATGGGGCAGTTAGACCCTTGGCAACCAGGCCAGGGGCTACCTGGTGGTAATTTGGCTAGTCTGCAGTCCTACCCCCTGACAGCTGGCATATAGGTCTGTAGCAAGGCTTGGTGGTTTTCAAAGGACTGGAGTTTAGCAATCTGTTGTGGGGTGGACATTATTTGAGGTTGTAAGGAGTGTCTGTAAGCCAGTATAGGCTTTTCCTTCAAAACCAGCTAAAGATAGTTGTCATTTTCCAGGAGGGGTTGGAGATAAGGCATCTAAGGATGTGGTGGCAAGCCTGCAGCACACATGCAGCATAAGTGGTACAGACAGCTAATGGGTTTGGCACACAAGCCCTAAATGTTGAATTAAAGGGAAGAGATGGTGATGTGAGTCAGGGCAATACTCGGGGAGGAGGCAGGGATAAGAGCAGCACTCAGGGAGAGGACAGGACTTATTCGGTTCAAGGGTTTAGCCCTGCAGGAGCTTTGGGGGTAGGTGCCACCAAATTCAGTGTTGCCACATCTCGATGGCAGTGGAATTTGGCAGCACTGGGCAACAGTGGTGGCTGATTTAGTAGAGTAACCCTGTCTAATACTTTGTTTTATCTTGTGGTATGCTTGCCAAAAAGGTTGGCCACCACTGGCCTAAGGTATTATTGCTGGGGGTTGTAAGTGACAACCAAAGGGATTCTGTTGCCTATATCACAGGGTTGGTATTGTAGCAGGTTAAAAATGGGGTCTGAATCTAGTGTTGTTGATGTAAGTGGCTATGGTTTTTCTTTGCCTTTTTGTCATTACTCTTCTGCAGAAATGATAACCCCTGACACCAGTTTTTGGGCACTGAGCTTCCATTTAATTTATCACTCTCCTGTGGCCATTCTGTGGAATGTGTGTGGAAACTTTGACAGAGCTCTACTTTCAGACCTGGGCTTTTTTGGTGGTTTCTCCCACTGAACAGAGAAGAATTTCTTGTTCATTATAATGTTGCATCTATCCTTCCTCTGGCTGTTTTATTGTTTAGTACAAAAGCACAGGCCTTCATGTTCTTTTCATGTCTGGAAAAGAAGATATGGAAGCAGAGGGACTTGTCTATTAACTGAGGGTGGAAGTGCAAACATTATTGAGTGACTTGGTTTTTGACTTCTCCATTCTTTTAAAAGCTCTGGAGCAGTGACAAGAAGGGAGAGGCTCAGACATGCATCCACCTCCTCATGTGAGGGCTTTTCAGAGCTGGGTGTCTAATCATTATCTTCTGGTTTGCAGTGAATCTCCTAGATACAAGCACTGCTCAGAGTGAGCTGGGCTGGCTTCCAGATCCTCCAGAAACAGGGGTGAGTATGTATATATGAGATAATGTTGGGGTGATGTTGTAGTTGTGATGGTACAGGAAATATGCAAGGAGGAAGGAATTTGAGTGGGGGGCGATATCTTATTAGACTGTTTAACACCATTATACAGTTGGTCTAATAAACGATACCATCAAAAATATCCTTGTCTCTATGTATATTTGAACAAAAGGTGGTCCCTGAATATTTTTTGTCATGGAGAGAAATTGAGATTAATCCCAGAAAAGGACTCACAAGGCACATATTCTATATGAAGTCCTTTCTGTTGTTTCAGTCCTGGACTTTCCATGCAGACTTGCCAATGCTTTTTGTTCCGTCTTCCAGTCCCACTACTGTTCTAGTGCTGCAGATCCCCCTACTAAGGACACAGAATAGTTTTACATTCTTAGGCTTGAATAGATACTGCTTACGCACAAGGAAAAAGCTCATATGAGAAACAAAAATATAGGAGGAGAAAGAATAAAACTATTCTCCTGTTTTACAACTTCTAATGTGTTGCAAGAAGGAAGGCATACACATTCATCTCACCAAAAATACTTGTGGCAGAATTACCTCTGTCTGTGTATTTATACTTGCATCAGCATGGAAATAACTGGGATTCTGAGCTCACTCCTTTTCAGAACATTTAAATTGAAGAAATTTGATCTTCTAGTCTGTCACTGACTATCAAATTAATAAAATTATGGAGAGGAGATGTGTCCCAAGTGGCTAGAGCAAAGAACTAGAACTTGAGAAACCTATTCCTGAGACTGCCGTTGGCCTAATAGATTACTATCACTTCACCTCTGTGTTTCTATGAACAGAGGAGTTTCATTCAAAACTGCTTCAGCTGTGTTATGTATTACAAGTGCTAAGGAAATTTCAGCTTTACAGGGGTCTGGAGAATCATAGAAAAGTAGAGCTGGAAGGGACCTTCAGGCAGGATCATCCCTATCCAAACCATCCTATATAAATCTATTGTCTAACCTATTAAACAAACTACACAGTCAATCCTGACACAACCACAAGGCATGACACCTTGATCTGCCACAGGTAAAGCAGGGAGACAACAGTGGCCAATGTCCAGCTGCTGCAAGCGATCCAAGGAAGGGGGCCACACACACCGCCATTACATCCCCCTGCCCCACTCCCCCATCTGTACCAATCTGACCATGGGGTAAAATTCCTTCCTGACCCCATATATGGTGATCAGTGTGACCCTGAGCAGAGGGGCAAGACCCTCTAGCCAGGAACCTCTGGTTTAAGCCTCACACTTGTATAATAGAGATAATGCTACTCTGCTATTTTTGTAAAGTGCTTTATGATCTACGGATGCTATTACTTTTCTAGTTCTAAGAAGTGAACTCAGACCTGGGATCTAAGTATTCATCTGAGTGTTTGGGATTGTGTTTAGGGTTTTTTTTCTCCTCTTCTTCCTCTATGTATACTGTTCAAATGTGTAGCCTGTCTAAATTAGTGTCAGCAACCTACAGCTCACGAGCCAGATCTGGCCGGCAAAGAGCCTGGATCCAGCACTGGGCAGATCAGAGAATCCAAAGAAACAGCACTGCTCCAACCATAGCATCAGAGGAGGGGTCCTCAGGGTCCTATTGCTTGCCAAGTTCAGTTTTTATCTGCTGCAGCAGAGGAGGAATCCCCAAGGTGCTAGCACCTACAACTTTCTATCTAGTCCATTCGCAGCCTTTGCTGATGGGGGGAGGTGAGGGAGGGGCAGCCTGTGGCAGCAGCTGTGTTGTAAGCAGTGGCCTTGCCATAGCAAAAAAGGTTGCCAACCCTTGGTCTAAATGACTTATTTTTAGATCAAGGCAGAACTGACTTCTGAAAGATAACAGGTTACTTGTTTTCTCCGTAATAATCTGTATCTGATCTGAACAAAAATGACAGATGTTTTTAGCAGCTTACTAGTAATATAAAGGTGCGGTGTATAGAAAAACCCCATGGGCCAAATGAGTGACGTGGGGTTGGTCCATTGGCTGGATGGGACCCACAGACTGGCCCCACATTCTGGATCTGGAGTGGGTGCTGCATGCAGCCCTGCTCTAGCCACACCAGGACTGTGCAGCCCAGCCTTAGAGCCAACGCTTCCAGGGGGCTGTTCTCCATAGCCCTGAAGCCAGAGCTGCCGTGGGACTGTTCTACATGGCTCGGGCCCTGCAGCTGGAGCCGCAACCCTGTGGGGTTGTATAGTGTCCACTCTGGGACTGTGTTGCTTGAGGTGGCTGCTCCACCACTCCAAGGCACCAGTTGGAATACACACCCCAAATAACATGCATGGCCATCCAACATGCTCCACATGTTGCCTCTGGGTCACTCCAAGACCACCAGCAGCAAGAGGGCAGATGATATAGCTCCACAGCCTGTGGGATGTATGTTTGACACCCATATATTATATGTACTGTTGGGCATCTCTGGTTGACAGTAACATGATATTTTAATATGGATAGCATAAGGCTTTAAGAACCATTTTTGGAAAATCTGTCTAAAGAGCCTGTCTCCATGCTGTAGCTGTAGCGGCAGCTCTGGCTTCAGGGCTATGGTGAGCTGAAATGTGCAAAGTGTCTTCATGGGCTAGTAGTAGTGGCAGTTGCTGGCACAGTGCAGAGGCAACATCTGCTTGGGTGTCCTTGAACAAATCTTTGGACGCATCAGTTGTCCAATTAGAGAAAATAGTTGGAAAATAAAATTGATTATTAATGTATATACACATGATTCACAAAATAAACCCAGAGATTTCAAATAGGAATCTATAATATTAAAATATTCTGCAACCTGTTGTCTTTCTGAGTTCTTTGCAACAGAAGAATTGCTCTCCTGTTTCTCCGTAATCAAAAAAACATGCAAAAGCTAAGAGCTGCCAATTTCCAAGGGGTATCTTGAGTCTAAAAAAGTTGAAAATCACTGTGCTAAAAGTATATTTATTCTGTTGCCTAGCATTTTCTGAGAGCTGATTAACCTTTTTATGAGCATTGATTATTTCATACTCCTTCCCACTGGTCTGAACAAGTATATTTTACTGATGATCCTGTACAGGTTTTCCTCGCTTTATGTGGGCTCTGTATGCGCAAATTCACTCTTGTGCAATGACCCTTTTTATACCAAAAATTCATTATATGTGAGGTAAATTCATTCTTATGCGATCAGTGTGGTGGAACCCTGCAGTCAGCTGCTTTGTACAGTGCATTGTAGAAGTGACACGCACCAAAATATAGTCTCCTGTGTGGATCTGTGCTCCTCACTGATTGTCTGCGACCCGTGTTTCTGTAGTTGCCGTCCCCATTATGGTAACATTCACCACCACCCTGTGCTTGTGTGCACTGTTTGCTGTTGGTGAGTACCAAAATTGTCTTGTAAAAGTGGTAGAAATGGGCCTGGGGGTGAGTATAGTTGAGGTCTTGGAACGTATCCTTATTTGTTACATTGTAAAGTGGGTTTCCTTTATGTGAATTTGAGTTAGGTGCCATTTTCCGGGAACGCATGTACAGCATAAAGCAAGGGAAACCTGTATAAGACTTCTATAAGTAGAGAAAACACAGAGAAGTGAGCACTAAGGTGGTAGGTTGCCTTTATAAGCGTTGCCAGTATGCCTGACCCTGAACAGGATACCCCATGAAAAACTTTCTGCTCTAAAAATGTGCTGCTTTTCACATTGTTTTTGGTAGTTTTTGTATGTTCAGCAAAGCTGTCCAACTGGTGGACTATTGGGGTTAGGTTGCAGCCCTCAGGCTTCCACTTGGCTACTACTCCTCTTATCTCTCCAGCTGCAACAGCAGCCAGTGTCCAGGCTCCCTTGTCCTGTGTCCTCCTCCATTGTCCATGTTCTGTACCTGCCCCTAAGGGGCCCATGAGCCCTGCTGGTACAGCCCATAGAGTGTGCAGTTCCTGCTAGAAGGCCCCTCGCCACTTAAAAATTAGATAGTCCTTGGATGCATCTACACAAGACAATGCCTGTTGGACTAATTCTACTGTACATTAGTGTGGCTGGCAGAAACTGTGCTAGTGTGCTAATGTGCAGCAGATTAGTCCAGTGGGCATTAAGTGTCACCTAAAAAACAATCATCTGTGTTACTGCACAGTAGCACTGATTATGGTGCATTATTACCTGCTATTACAGTACTAAACTTAATGTGCCATAATTACGGTGCATTAATGAACATATGAACACACCCCCTGATCTATAACATACTATCCATATGGAATTTCATTATTCAAAATGCTGTATATAGTACTATTCCAGCTGCAGCGACATCATACAATTAAAATTTAAGCTGATAATAGCACTGGTCACATTCTGTTAAGCACTTTAGATTTATGAATCCCAAATCCAAAAAATATAAGGTTTTTTTCTTTCTTTTTTGCATTGAGTCAGTTGGGTTTTACCAGAGTAGACCAACATGAAACATTTTTTTTTCCTGCAACAGTTTACAGATCCTAGGCAAGTTTTCTAGCTGTAGAAGCAGGATTATAGCCATGCTGCTGTGGTGCTGAAAGCAGTTTCATCTGTGTTTCTCAGCAGAATTTACTGTCCTGTATGCAATGCTGCACTAATGTTCAACAGCATTGCTTCCAGTTTTGCACCTAACAAGCAGAGAATATCTATGCAGCATTGCCTTGTACCATATAATCATATCCTAAGGGCTTAATTCTATTTCACTTTTATGTACCTAAGTAGCACTTACGTAACTGCTTAACTAAAGTTTTTAGCACTTATGCTGAGTTTAGATTCTACGTAGATATGCTCGCCCTGAACTTCTTTACTGAGCATGCTTAGTCAACTGCACTGTGGCCACATAGATGCCTCCAGATATCCCGGGCAGGTGTTCCAGGGGCTTGAAAAACCTAATCCGACATACCCTGAGAGTTCCCCCTCAAGCCCCGAGAGTGCTTGCCCACCTTTTCCCACTTACCAAGGCACATCCTTCAAGATTTCATAGATTTCATAGATTTCATAGACATCAGGGCTGGAAGGGACCTCGGAAGATCATCGA